ATTTTCAACTATGTGAAATGTTTTTTCTGGAGTACTGGGCGCGCAATGCACCTAGGGCGAACATGGGCCTTTAAATGTGTTATCAATAGCACGGCACACACATGCTTGCATTTTACAACATTGAACACTTGTCTACACGCAGAATAGCCGAAATGCGCCATATTTCTCGGAAATGAGTGTGGAGAATAACTAAAGGAACCTGCCCCCTCCATGTTGGTTTTTGTGAGTTGGGATAATCAAAATTGCAATGTTTTGAAACTGCCCGCCAGAGCAGTTTAAGACCCAGTCCACAAGAACTGAAATAAAAAAATATGCGGTTTGAAAAATTGTCCGGATTCTTGTGGACATGGCCTTAGAAAACAGATTGACAATGCAAATGGCTGGCAACGAAATTCTTTTGGGATAGAAACCAGGTATTTTTTTGGAAAAGATAGCTCCAGCCGTTTGAATGGAAAATTTTTTTTTTTTAACAGATACATATAACCCTAGACTTTGGAAAGGATAACAATGTTTTTGCACATATAGCTCAAGCCATTTGAACGGCCGACAAGTTTTTCAAACAGATAGCCTGAGCTGTTCAAACTGCTGACAATTTCGAACGGCTGATGAATGGCACACAAACGGCTATCCATTTCAAAACAGCAGACCATAAAGGCTGGTTTTCACTAGTGACAGAGGCGGAGTCATAATCAGAAGCGTAGAGCGTACAATCTAGTGAAAACAGCGTCCCAATTTCCTTTACGACTCTGTCGCTTAGGTTCCGCTTATGATCTGGTGAAAACCAGATTGTCAGAGTCGGAAGCAGAGGAGGAAGAACAAAGTGTGGGAACGTGCATTTTGATCAGTTTATCCTTCCGCTTCTGTTTCCGACTCCGACAATCTGGTTTTCACTGGATCATAAGCGGAACCTAAGTGATGGAGTTGTAAGCGGAATCAGGAGAAATGGAAACATTCTGATTCTAATGACTCCGATTCCATCGCACGTATGACTCCACTTACCACTCCAATTTTTTATTTTTACTGGGTTATAAGCGCTCTTCCGACTCCGTCGATAGTAAACCAGCCTTAACGAACGTTTTCGCGTGAGAGGTCATACCTCACGGTTAAGTAGTTAATATTCTGCTAGTTCTTTAAACACTCATCATGACTAGCAAGCCACCGAGTCACTTCTGTTTAAGACCTTATAATAAGGCCTGCAATCTGTGGTTACTCCAAAAATACTATGAAAAAAAAGAAAACAAACCTCTTTGTGTTGCGTCGCAGGAGAATCCCAAAACCTCCTGACAGCAGCGAACACAGGATTCGAACAATCAGTCAAGCCACTCACACTAAAAGCACCGAATGTCTGCCCACTCTTCATGCTCACTCCTTCGTCGTCTTTGAGCTCCACATCACCGTCTTCATCATGTTTTTCTGCGTGCCTGGCGAGCGCTTCCACAGTCAGGTTAGAGTTTCTCGTTGCTTGTCCTACTATTGTGCCCCTCTTTACCGCTTCTCTGTGCACTTTTATCGCCGGATTTGACTCACAACTTTGGCCTTTTCGCCAGCGCTTTGTTTTCCCCTTTCGCAGACGGACCATGATGCTATTTTGTTCAAAATATCACAGAAAACTACATGTGTTTTACCTTCGTTGTGAAATCAGCATCAGGCCGCGTGTCTTGTACTACTGAGCCTGCAATTATTTTAAAAAGCGGTACACAAGTACTTACGTCGTGTATGGATCATGAATGTTCTAATGTTACGTACCTACACAAATTAAAAAGTCGTTGTTGAGCAACGACAGAAAAGTGAATCAAGTGCAGAGTTTCTGACAGTTTTGCTTAAGATCCTATTGTATTTTTGACGTTCGGTTCCCGTTGCCATCGTAGCTTCATATAAGTTCCCTACAGTAAACCGGCGGCACGATGACCGTACGGACATGCATAAAAACCTGGTGCTCGACTCCAGAACTTCTTTTCTCGGCAATATTGGATTGGAATTGTATTTGATATTATTATTAGATTTTAGGGGAAACATGTAATTTGCCAAAACTATTATTCTGGTATTGCGTGGTTCAAGCGTTATCAGTCTCGTTCCCGCCGGATTGCCCGTCCACTGGACCAGGGTAACACGCCTTCTGCAAACGACTGACGCTTAATGACCTTAATGCATGCACGTCATTATCCCAAACTTACTGCGTTTCTTACTTGCTAAACCCTTTCTTTCCTAAACATTTTTCCAAAAAAAAACGCATGTGTAGACTGTGTAAGCCATTTCCTCCTCACAAAAAGGCCAAAAAGGAGAAAACTGTCCAAAACGTTGGTTACAAGTTGCGCACTACCAAGATCCCATGACCCAAAGAGACTCTGGCGAGAAACGACAAGGTTTTCCCTCCAGCCATGTTTCTTCTTTCGTTTTTCACTAATGTTGTGCCTCAATGAACGGAGTTTTATTCCGCGATGGGAAAAGGGTGGAGGAAACCCCGATGATTGTGAGATTATGTTGAGATGTGGGTGATTCGTGGAACAAGAGTTTCAGCAGAAAAAAAAAGAAAATTTCGGAAGTAGGGAGAGAGATAAAGAACAGTCCTTTCTTTGATCTCTGTCAACCGAAACTATGATCGCCACAGGTAAGGGAATCTGGTTTCCGAAATCCGTGGGGAGTCTTTGCTTGTGGAATCCGAAACCCTGGGTTTTGGAATCCGGAATATAGCTCAAGGAATCCGGAATCCTACTGACGATTAGAATCCAGAATCCAAGTTCCACTAGCAAAGAAACCGGGAATCCATTGTCTGGTATCCGGAATCTAAGGCGCAGAATCCTGAATGGCAACATAAGTGGACGAAAAAATGGATTTGCACAAATTTGCTCTTTGCAAATATGTCGCAGATCTGTAAATACTGAGAAGTAAATGATCCATTTGCATACCAAAAAATGGGGTGCAAATAACTAGGTCAATGTGGCATTTACCATGTTTTCCATATGTTTATTCCTCAGTATTTATATATTTGCGACATATTTGCAATGGATAAATTTGTGCAAATTCAGTTTTTCGTCCCGTATACTGTCTTGGATTCCCTTATACATAGTGGCGACTACGGACAGCCTCTCTCTCTAAATGTCATAAGTAATACAAAAAATACCCTGGCAGGTCAGATGAATGAACTCGCAACTCTGTGAGCGTTAGATAAAAATACACCCACTACTAACATTTTTTTTAAAGGTATATGAAAGATCAATGAGAATAACGCTGGAATGATCGTGGAATAATTCTCCCCAGAAGACCGGCTGAAGATGCATGAGACCTCGGGTCAAGAATCGAAGAAAAGACACCTTTCCATAAACTTCAAAGTTGGTTATCTATTCAGGCTTTTATTCTTACTAATCTGGTAATAAGCTATCAGCTAAAGAATCTAATACAAGCAAAATGTTTGCTTTGATTTTACTATGAATCATACCTGCTCCCTGCGTCAGCTAAAGAACAAGCGGCGCCTTACATACCGGTGCGTATTTAGGACTTTAATTTATTCCAATTTATTATTTATTTACTTAAAGTTTTGTACAGTTTCCGTGAAAATCTGTGCATTGTAAAAGTATTTCCGTAAATCACTTGTTCTCGTCCTACGTCACCAGCAAGAGCGCACGGAACTCATGCATGGGACATTCAATAAAAAAAAAGTTAACAAACCTTTTCTTTATTCATTAACTGACTTGTTTATAAGAGCTATGTTTCTCGGATTCTAAATGTCCTTGGAGCGCTGCATTTTATCGATACACAAGGCGCGTTATTCATTTTAATTCAAATTCCATCTGTGATAACTTGCTTTATAGCTATAACGTACACCGTTAACAATTAATCACTTATAACTATCTTATCATCTGTAACATCTTCAACTCTAACTTGATAACGTACTAATAAGCTGTCACAGTTTCGCTCTTTAGGAAGTCCTCCAAGTTTAGTTTAATGCTGGCGCCACATCAGTTATTAAGACGTTAATTGAAGAACTGCAAACAATGTGTGCATGCATGAATCATGAGCCATAATGCCCAAAAAATGTCTCACCAGCCTCAGTGATTGAAGGCACTCACGCATACTATGAAGTCAGCTAGGGTGTGATCATTAGAGCGTCTAAATGGGGTTAACCGCCAGCCGCCGAAAAAGGTACTTTTCACCGTCAACCATCAAAAATGCAGATTAATAATAACCGTCCAAAAGTTTCAAGGCATTTCAAATCTTCCTATTTAAGCCAATCTTCACGGACTTCCGGCTCCTGAAGAATCTCAATACTTGAAAAACAAGTTCTTATGTTCTCAAAAAAACTATCTCTAGATATAACAAGACTTGCGTTTATCTGAAATATTTCGAAATTTTATGAGTACAGTAAAAACCCGAGTATAAGAAGCCAGATTTTAAGAACCTGTTAGGCTAAGATTGTCCATTTAGACCCCTTTTACATAAGAAACTGTTTTAGTCTATAATTTTGAAACAGGTTCTTATTTTGAGAAATTGAGTCAAACACTGAATACACAAATTTAATAGAACAAGCTCCACCAGCTAGTAAAATGAAGATAAAACCCTGGCAATGAGAAAATTGACATGTAGATCTATATATCCTTCATAACTGGCTTTAACATGCTTAAATTAAAGGGATTTTTATAATTACATATTATGCATGCAATACCAAAAATAGGCCTAAAATAGGCCACACCCACCAAAGACAAGCACCTTATTAAATAAGAAGCTGTTTAAGAACCTGAGTAGCCTAATTTCCCAGTAAGCACCATTTTTATATGAACCTTTTTAGCTTAGCATGGAAAAACATAAGTTCTTATACGCGGGTTTTTACTGTATACGTAGCTCTTAAACTAAATATTCACTTAATAACCGTCAAACGTCGTCGAAAGCTCTAAAATTTAACCATCAACCGTCAAAATTAGAAAAAAATTGCAATCAACCGTCAAAGCTATCACCCCATTGAGATTTTCTCATTGTTAGGCCTAAAGAAAAATGAAGGCACTTGACTACAAAACATGATCACCCAAGGGCGCTGCTCTGAGAAGTTCTTCTACAACTGGTTTTTCGTTAGCTGCGTTCAAATGTTGAATATTGTATTTTCCATTTCTTTCCTCGTCCAATTCCGCTTTGTACAGATCAGTTCTGCGGAACGACCAGAAATTGGAACCACTCTTACGAGAACTTATGCGTCTCGTATCCCAATTTCTTTTCGATAAGTTAATTGAGAGTTTCGAGAGGCGCCTGTGAAAACTTTTCTTCTTCTTATAAAGACCACATTGATTTATAACCTTGCGAAACTCTCTACGAAAATTGTGGCTTAGTAGTATGTATAAAAATGGGTCGATGGCACTGTTTGAGTGAGAGATCCACAGAAATAAGGGGAAAAGATAAGAGGGAATTTTAGAATAACCGTCTCTATCGAATGCAATGAGATAATGCATCGCATGAGCGGGAAACCAGCACAGCGCAAACACGGCCACTATCATAACAAGCACTTTGATAACCTTGCGTTTCGCCTTCTCCACTGCAATCTTATACGCTTGGGCTCCTGTGTTCCCGGGTAGTCTTCGGATGTAAAGTTTGTAGCAAACAAGCGAGTACAGAATAGAAATAATAAGTAGAGGCAACAAATAAAGCACAACAAAAATGAGGCTGTAATACACTTTAAAAAGGGTGTCGGCCCTTTGTTGATTTTCGCCAAAGTAGAGTACACAGGACCATGATCCGTCGCCGTCAGAGACCACCTGGAAAATTGCCAGGGCTGGACTCATGAGTATCGCCGAACAAATCCAAATCGAGGCTGTCATGGTCTTGGGCCTACGAAAAACTTGCCCTTTCAACGGGTAGAACACAGCAAAGAAACGATCTATAGACACCACCAATATGGTCAGGATGGATGTGGCGATGGGAAACAAGAACAGATATTGGGTGAACTTGCAAGTTATGGTTCCTGCAATCCCCGAATGCCAGCGGTTTCCGATGTACAGGTACGTCACCGACATGGGCATGACAATTAAAGTGATGAGCAAATTGGAAAAAGCAAGGTTTGCTATTAGTAGATTGGTGGCTGCTTTGATAGTTCCACATTTCCAACATATGATGTACACTCCAAGGGAGTTTCCAACAAGTGCAGCAAGGAAAGAGATCGCATATAGTGACGTCATCATGATTCTTATGTTTTCCGTTATTGCGTCGGCTGGTATAATCCCTTGGATTTTATCAGCTGGAAAAAAAAAGTATATGTGGTTGAATTAATTGATTAGAAACTTCACAGTATTATCTATAGAAATAAAGACTGATGTCGCTGGTGGGATGCCAATCCATTCAAAGGTTTTTTCTCCGCCCATTGTTTTCGCAGCTGTTTCTATATCTAGTCTCACAGTCCTCTTCTCATTTCTACTCGTGAAGTGGCGAATATTACTTACATTTGGTCAAGTTCGTGTCATTCCAAGAAGAATTTCCCATGAAAGTCATCTTGTCTATTGAGGTTAAAAATGGCCAAAAATTAGAGATGCAAGAAAATAAGAGTACAGCGATCTTCAAAACCAAGTTCATCATAAGTACCTTTTAGTTAAATACCTATGTAACATGAAAAATAAAAGCTTAAAATAGCCTTTGGATCGTTCTCTAAGTTGTAATATCATAACATTGAAAGCCGTGTGTGCCCATTGGGTTGTGGCAAGAGAGAAGTTATCCTCTCTTTATTATGGTTGCACACGCGATATCGGTCTAAAGGCCAGTAGTCCAAGCGACCAACATACCGTCTCTTTGCCTCTTTAACCCTGTTCAGACCCAGGGGAGGAGGCTTTGGCCACTTAATTTAGAACTATTAGGAATATTTTAAAGTCGTCGTAACGTATACATTAAGATTGACGTTACCATGGAAAGCAAGTTTTGACTGCCGTGACTTTCAAAATTTGCCTTTTTATTTTTACAAATTGAATTTTACCATTACACATAATTTAGCAACATTTCATGAAATTTATAACAACTGTTACTGTAATCCAGGCATTTTTAGTGACTGATTTAAGAAAAAAATACATCCATTTAAAATGACCAAATAACAGATGATGGATTTAGTTTTTAACAGCGGTTTTTTTAGCTAAATACATTTCATTTATTCAAAATAGCAGATCTTTAACGATGAATGGCGCCGCGTCGTTAACGACGTTTTAGAAAATTCAGACAGATCTGAGATATATAATGGAGAGTAGGTGTTGGGTCAAAATCTCTAATTCTTTTAATTGCTCCTATATCCCGGAAGCAATCTTTTTAGAACTTATCGATGTACCTTACTATTTAAATAGTTTTCGCTTAGAAGAGAAATGTTGATAAAATTTGGATTTTGCAATTCAACAATATGACGTCAAAATGACATCAAATTGCGTCATTGTGTTAATCAAGGTATGCCTAGTTGTTGGAAATAATGAATACATTATTCGTGGCAATTTTGGTGGTCGTATTATGAGAGGTCTTGTGGTTATAGAGTGGCCCCCGGTCGTCACGATACCCTGCCGGTAAAATGAAGTCAATAGAACAGGCTAAAAACAAAAATCGTCACCCGAAAATCCCTGCGGGATGAGGTTTGGTAGAGCTGGATAAAATGGCGGAAATTTTTTCACGTTTCGTAAAAAGATGCATATTTTTGTGAAAAATAAGTTAAAACGCTTGTTAAGCATGATCCTATTAAGTATTTGTTCGTTCCAACTTTTCCAATAACAGATAATAAAAAAGGGAATGAAGTTGAAGTTGGGGTGGGGGGGGGGGGGGGGGGGGGGGGGGGGAACGGGAAAAATAGGGGGGGACTTTAACATGGACGGGGGAAAGGATGTTTAAAAGTAGGGGGTGTTGTGAATAACAAAAAAAAAATATTTATTTTATTTAAAAAAGTTGAAAAAAGGGGGGGGTGTTCACAGTAAATTTGCCCTCCCTAGTTTTTATTCTATTACATCGATCGAGGTAAGCATGTATTAAAGTATGGCGTGTTTTGAATGAACAATAAAACAATTATATATTATCTAAAAAGTTATGAAGAACTGGGAGGTTGTCACTGATACATTGACCCTCCTCGATTTGAACGATATTTCAAATCTTAGAGAGCATCATCCAATAATTGAAAAGTAATTAAAAAGGACCTCAAAGCGTTGTCCCAGTGTGAACATAGCATCGCAGTGCGTGCCAGTTGTTGGACTAATAATATCATTAATTTATACCGCGCAAATTCAACTATACAGTTTTCAAATGCGCCTTACAATTAAAAATTACAAGAATGAATAATTATCTAGTCTATAAATTACAACATTATATCAGAACAGGCTTTTTTAAAAAGGTGGGTCTTCAAATTACGTTTAAAAACTTCAAAATCGGAGGTGCATCTAAGATCTAACGGAAGATTATTCCACAGTTTTGGTGCAGCGGCTACAAAGGCTCGGTCACCAAGAGTAGGGAGAGTCCTGAAGTTTGGATTTGAAAGCAGATATTTGTTATTTAATCTGAGGCTGTAAGAAGAATTAGGTTTAAAGTTAACGAGAGATGATAAATTATTAGGAGCTGTTCCATGGATTGCTTTGTCAGTGATTGTAATAATCTTAAATTCTACTCTAAACATTACAGGCAGCCAGTGTAATTCGTATAATATTGGTGTGATATGGCAATACCGTGGTGCTAGATATAGAATTCTTGCAGCTGCGTTTTGAACACGCTGCATTTTAGTGAGGGCGCAGTGGGGTAGTCCGTATAAAAGTGAGTTAAAATAGTCCAATTTGCTTGTCATGAAAGCGTGGACTAATTTCTCGGCAGATTCTATGCTAACATATTTTCTGACGCGCCTAATATTGTTTAGATGAAAAAAAGCACCCTACAAGTTTTGGTTATGTTAAAGTTCAGGTTGAATTGGCAGTCAAACCAGGCCCCTAAGTTTCTAAGGGATTCTGTGCTGGGAGAGATGATGGATTCGCCAATAGTTAGAGTAGCGCTTTTAATTTTCTGTAGCTGCGCCTTCGTACCAGTGAGCATAAACTCAGTCTTGGAATCATTGATCATGAGTTTGTCATTGATCATGCAGCTACGGATGCCACAGAGGCACGCTTCCATTGCTGCAATGGCGGTGTCTTGATCGGAATCAACGCTTGGATTGAATGCCAAATCACCGGTATCATCGGCGTCGCTGTGTGCTGTTGGACTTATGGAATCACTTGAGATTTCATCGGCATGGCTGACTTTCGTTTCCACTTTTCCTGGTTTTTGCACCCATGACTAATACGCACCGACCTCACCAATATTTTGAGCTCTTAAGCTTTTTAGCTCACCCCAACAACGCATAACTTATTACAAGCGGTAGAGTGATCAAACCAAAAATTTGTAGGCCCGGGCCTATAGGTCTATAGGCTGGCAACACCCCCGGATTTTCATGTTTTTGTAGCGCGAACTGTAGTAAAGGGTATGAATTTAAAGATCTCATTAATTTGAACTGCGGGAGATCTAGAAAGATGAAACACATAAGATAATCACAGTTTAAGCAGGTGCGAAAAGAAAAAAAAACAAACAAAACATATATAATACAAACAACGACTAAAATCAGGCTTCAATGCGGTTCGAACCCATGAAGTTTGCGATACCGGTAGATAGCTCTTATGTCAGCTGAACCAGAAGCGGCCTTGCAATAGGGCTTCTGAAAAATGAACCGGAGAAAACGAACTGTTACATGGAAATGAATTTATGAAACGTTCTGTTTGAATACCTGGTGAATCCAGTCAAATATGTCAGTGCTGAATAATACCAGTTTTGTTGCTTTATGGAATAGATTCCATAACTTCGATTGCTTTCCTTCGATTCGCAAGAGATGAAAATACTTGGCCAACAGCTGTTGATGTTAGTCCGTCACCTAAGAGTCATTTGCTGCATACCCCATGTAGAAGTTAGAAAAACTACGCCGAGACACATGATCGTTTTGAAATGCAATTAAACGATTGTAACCTTGCTCTTCTCAGGAAAAAAAATGACCACCATGCAGAAGACTTGAACAGAAAATTAAGGCCGTTCTATATATCGTGTTGCAATTCGCTCATAATAGTCCTTTTCTGCCTATTCAAAAACAACTGAAGAGACGAAAAGTAATAGTTAGAGATTACGATCATCCTATAATTCGCTAATTAAAATGTAAGTATAATCATTATCGGATACGAAGCACTACGAACTCTAACGTAATTAAACACACTGTCATCAAAATAGCCAAAATAACGTCCCATATCTTCTTCGGTATAATCTCCAGAAGGATTTCGTTGAGCCGATATCATGGCTCATACTAAGTCTTAATCTCTAGATCTTGTCGTTATAACATTTTTGATACTCATAAATAACCGCGCATTTTTAAAAGCCCTTCAAAAAGTAAGTCAAACCTTCCATTTGTGAATTTTTAATCGATGACACGGTTTTAGACTAAGATTAACTTTCAGTATATCGGTTTGTGGAACGTACTTTGATCTTAATAAAGTCTGGTGATAACCATTTATGGGCAGGTTATTCATTTACAGCCTATACAATCCTCATAAAATAAACAAGTAGCTCTGATCAAGTGTTTGTTCTTACCTAAAGGCTTTCACTAGGATGTTGGCACCAGTTGAGCGCTCTACCACCTCCTCACTACTCGCCAATATTACAGTGAATAAAATGTAGCTATCGTCCTTTTGCCTCAGGGCAAAATGTATAATGTATATTTACTGCACTTAAAGAACTCACCGTTTGTCCTTTATTTTCAAAGGGTCATCAGTTATAGGCACAATTCCACTGTCGTCTGCTGATAAACAAAGGAAAAGTCACGTAACCTCGGAAACACATAGAAAAACCTTGACAGTGATTTATTTTCTTTTTTTTTCGTCTTCTTTTTTTTCATTTTCTTTCTTTTTTCCCTCTCCTGCAGGGGGATTCTTAACTTGGTTTAGCGATAAATCTGTTGTCCGAAGGAACTAACGTCGGCAGGCAGATATTGTAAATATTTCGCAGAAACTATACACTTTGGTAACGCCTTTTAAAATAATCTACCTTATTTACTGCAAACAAGTCTGCCCTTTTCGATGATTTACTTCGCGAAGAATGAAGACGAAGCTGTAATCATTTCTTAACTTGACAGTTATAACTTTTAAAAATCATTCATAATGTCCGCAGCATA